ACATCTTGTAATAGCACATTGCTGTGTAACTTTGTAAACAAGATATGATAAAGATAAAACTTGTCAACGAGCTCAAAGTTTACTGCACGCTTAGACATCTTTTAATAGCACATTGCTGTGTAACTTTGTAAACAAGATATGATAAAGATAAAACTTGTCAACGAGCTCAAAGTTTACTGCACGCTTAGACTATATTGAATATACAAACAAACAAACTGGCTATCAAGTGCATATGTTAATTTTAATATAAACATGTTTTACATGTGGAAGAATTAAACAGTTGATTCCAGGAAAATATTTTCTCATGACTCAGTCTCAGGCGGAAAATATAACCAGCAAGATCAATTCAAAATTTAAGTTATATTTTACATCAACACATGAGTTCACAGTACTAGTCTTATACGTACATGTTATTAGTTGTTTATATGCTACTCCGTACATACATGTATATCAATTCAAAATTTTCTAACCTCTTCAACGTATCTCAACTCCATACACCTGTTTTACTCTGGAAGTTTCAAAAAAATAAGTCTTAACTCTCTGCGTGAATGGTCGGCATGCTCGTTTGTAAAAGACATATTGGCATATAATAGATTAGGTACTGGTATATTTTATTCCAGGTATTACCACAATCGAAGCCGATTTTCATGGTAAGAGTGACGATCGAAACCAGAGGTCTCCATGTTTTCGATGACGCATGATTTATCAAAACATTGTATTTCCCCCCGCTTATAATCTCTATTAGATATATATATCAAATTGCCTTGTCTGTCGTTCTGCTGTTACGCTTACTTTCGCTCTCATGAGTTGTACAATTTGGGAAAGTATAAAGTATTGCTTGAATGGACCTGATAATTTGTTACAGCTGTATTCGGACCTAGAGTAAAGTGCACAGAGTAATATCACATGTTTAACGGGTTTAGATTGACTTTCGGTCGTTATTTAAGAATTGAGGGTGGCACTTTTACCGAAAGTCGATCTAAACCTCTAAAACATGTAAAATCACTCTTAACACCTTTGTTTAGGTCCAAATATAGCTGTTTCAAATTCTCAGGTCCCTGTGGTTTTGCCCTCTGAAAACGATTTCAGTTTTCTTCATAGGGACCTTTGATCGGAGAACATCACTCGCTAGCTTACTTATTTCGGCTTGACAAACGTTTTGAAACAGAATTTACTTTCAGTGTTTAATCAAGCAAACGTCAAGTTTCTGTGTTATAACGTAGAAACACATGTTGTGTGATATTGCTGCTAAAAAAAACCGTATATATAAACACACACGACAGATTTACTGTCCGTGTACGCTACACTGTGTAAACATTCGTATGTGCAGACAGGTTCTGCTATACGATTATTTATCACTGCTTAGGGTGAGACAATGATTTATTACATACACGAATGTTACTATAGTGATGGTAGCAGTTGTGACGTCATGCAATACAAATTCCTATATTTCACTTTGATAATGCAAAATGTTGTTGTATTTGGTCGAAATCAGAAAAATAAAATTAATCTAGAACTCATCGGTTGTTATCTATTGAACAAATCGATGAGTGTTTACAATAATGAGTTCCGAATGATTTAGCGCCATTTTAATTCTATGTGACGTGACGTCATTAAGCCATTCCTGACGTCGTTTTGTAAACCATTGTCATCTAGTTCAATTTATGGTGGAAACAATTTGAATATTATTACAGGGTTATTATGAGTAACGATTTACAAAAGATATAATGAAAGCATATACATTAATTGTAGGTATATTATATAGGCAATACCACATATAACGTCACAGATTACACTCGTTCATTTAGCAAATTGATATATTGCACTAGGGCTGAAAGCCGTTGTGAAATATATCCATACACGCAATGCATTCGTGCAATATTGGACGTCAGACAAACAAACATGTGTGGTATTGCCTTTTTATCAATACGAGACAGATTGTATTGACCGAAGGCTTGTTCGTGAGATAAAGTAACTGAGATAACTATTCCCACCTTAATTTGATGGAAATTAACATATTGAGAAAAAATATGTGTCAATTGAACACAGGAATTTTCTGGTGTTTCAACAAGGAATATTAATATCTTGTAGGTCAATTTGGTGATATACCTTACTTTCCTTTGATCTGAGGACATACGGCTTTAAACCCTTTTACGTAGCCTTCTCTTAATGGAAAACATGTTCTTCAAATCAACAATTACTATAGGATTCCTCCATTTAGAATACAAGGACTCTTTTGTTTAACCTATACTCCGAATGCCATGCAGTTTCACTGCCTCATTTGAATTCAATTGTAATCTCATTTACGACAATGACACAGTCACATCACATACTTGTTTTCGGAGAACGCAAGTTGACTATTTTGTAGATAGCTCAGAGTCTTTTGTGATTTCCTTGGCAATGAACCCTTTAGACGCAAACCTTGTTGATAGACACCTTTTGAACATTAGTATGAGAATATGATTGTCCTCCACTTTTCTCTTGGAGTGCAAACTCTTGACAAAGGAACGGCGTATCCTGTTGCAAAAGGTTTGAATATTGCGTTCAAGGTTTGAATATTGCGTTCAAGGTTGGGGGGATTTTGTCCTTGAAAGCAGCAGCTTTTAATATACATTAATCCAAATGTATGTAAAAAAAGTTCACCAACTGATCCAGCAATAGAATGTAGATCTCTAAATGCATTCTATTTTGAAATATGCGTATCTCCCTTACTTAACGTTTTGCAACAGATACGTTTTGACAGTATTTTATCTGACAATATATTCTACTGCTAAAAATTGAACCATTCAGTACACACTTTACCAAAACCAAATCGATTCAATGAGTCAAACATTTATCATTTAATCTTAACGATCCGGCATTTGAAATCTTTCGGCGCCCTTGCCAGCCTTGGGATAGGTTCGAGTGAGGGAAGTTGGTCCGGTACCTCAGGGAGGAACTCGAATCTCTGCAGCAACGATGTCATCAGTGTGAATAGTTCCAGCCTTGCCAAGGATTCTCCGAGACAGGTTCGTGGCCCTGTCGTGATAAAGTAATTTATTTAAGTACATTTAATGCACATTGAAATTAAGAATATTTTAATTCAAATATATCAATCAGTTGTTAGTAAATAGAGTAAATCCTTGTAGGAATTATAATTTGTTATTTCAGCATAAACTGCCAAACAAAAATACGAAATGAAGTGGTAGTTTGTATGAATAGATTCTTGTTCAAATATTGTTAAAGGCAATAGAGATGTTTTGTCCAACACGAGATCTCCCACTATAACATATCAATGTCTATCTAAGTATTTGCAAATTTTACAGAATTTTGCTAAGCTTGAAGCTAACCTTGTTTGATATATGATCAGTTTCATCCCGAACTATTCTTGTGCTTGTAAATACGTAAGGATTTAAGTATATTTTGATTGAGTAGAATACTGTGCCTGGTGCCCTCGACACGGTATTTCAGTGAGGTAACACTGTAAAATCGGCATCAGTACCGCGCTATCGCAAGGATGCAAGGATGCAAATACACCAACACAGATCCTCCAGCACACACATACTGTTACACACAAGAAGGCCCGTTCTTTAATAATCTTACCTGCTAATATGACGCTAAACCCTATACACTAAATGAAACGTATCACACTAGTATAGGTGTGAGGAGTGGACGTTTGATAGTTATAAGCTTCGGTCGATTTCATGGGGTGATGAATTGAGTTGGTCTTGAAACAAACTTAAATAACTGCTAAGGGAGAATTTCTTAAGGCAGTACATGGATTGTGACTACCGCTAGTAACAGTTGATACTATTTTGCTGATTGATCATCTTTGGTTGCTCGAACAATTTCTTGTTTATTTTCATTAAAAAAAATAAAAAAAAATTCATGCAAGTGATATTTTCTATGTTTAAAAATGTTAATAGTTATCTCCCTTCTTAAAATATATAACGTATGAAAATATGTATTCATACGCACATCCAGTGTTAATCAGGTCAGTTTCATCGGAAAATGAAACAGGTAACATTTGGTAGTTGAATTGAGTCAAGCTTGAGTAGAAATTGAAATATTTCCATTAACTATCAAACCATCGATTAACATATTAGTTCTTACCTAGCGAGAAGGGTATGACGTTTCTCTCTTTGCCATTGAGTTGTCCGTCCTGTCCTAGATATCTCTCGGGATTAAATGTGTCAGGATTTTCAAAGATGTTAGGATCGTTCATTACGGAGTCAAGGGAAACCAGGATCACCGACCCACTTGGTATAGTCATTCCACGGAACTGGATGTCCTTCGTGGCACCACGAGGCACAGAAAATGGTGCGAAGTTGGCCATTCGATGTACTTCTGTCATAAACGCCTCGTTGTAAGGCAAGGCGCGTTTATCGGCGAGTGACGGAAACCTGGACGTCCCGACCACTGACTCTATCTCCTTTCGAAGTTTGTCCTGGATGTTTTTATTGTGAAGAAGGTACAGTATCGCCCACAAAAATGTGCCAGTTGTTGTGCTAGTTCCGGCAAGACACAGATTCATGATGATAGCTGACAAGTTTATATCTGTGTAAATAAAACAAATAGACTTTTAGTGCTGGGTGCAAATGGTTATAAATAATTGTTTCTCTGTGCATAATTTAGTAAAGTGGTTTTAAAGTGAAAATTTCGCGGTGTGGCAATGTTCGCGTTTAAGTTAATTATCGTGAAAATATCCACATGCAAAAATCCTTTATAGATAAAACAGATAACAGATAAACAAACTGTAAGAAATATTGCTAGCCCGAACATTTCCTCATCGCAATCAGATTAAGGAGTCGCAACAACACGCAAAAAAATCGACTTTTACAGTATATAGAAAATCTCCACTCCATGTAATGGGAAAATATTTATACTGCAAACAAGGTTGGCACCTTGTGATCACGGATAGTTGGTCGTTATATTACATGTATATTGGGTGGTCGGATGGTGCGGTGGATAGCGCACTTGCCTTTCACCAAGGCGGCCGGGATTCGATTCCCCGATCGGATGTGAAAGGTATGGTGTCACCTGCCAGACCATGTGGATTTTCTCCGGGTATTCCGGTTTTCTCCCACAATAAGACCCCCCGCGCGCGAACATCCGGGCCAACAAGAGTGATTAATTAAAGTTGAAATAACTTGTTTCATAATTGTTGTTAAATAAATATAGTTTATATTTTTTATTACATGAATAATTCAATTATAAAACACAATAGTAAAGACACATTCATAGACATTTTCAAACAACAGATGATGATAGTTATAATTTTCATTACCACACCGTATTTTCAGGGTTTGTCGTACATAGATAAAACGTCGCCATGTAGATAAAATCTCGAGCCCACTTTAAGTGGCCTCTCGATTTTATCCACGTGCTCTCGATGAGAAAGTTGTTCTCACGAACAACAGTGTGATAATATATAAATAACTTCACAGGCGATGATATATGGCCCCAAAGTTTCACTACAATCCGAATATTTACTTTTCTCATGTAAATACTGATTTATGTTATTTAAGCGACAAAATGATACATAATCGTTTTAAATGAATAAAACAAATAAGTAAATAAATATATCCTGCGTACCTTCAAAAATCTGTTCATCCTTGCCACGTTTGTTTTGTTCGGTAAGGAAAGCATCAATGAAATCTCGTTGATTATCTTCGTCAAACTTTGTCCTGTGTTCATTAATTTGTTCATCGATACATTCCTTGATATCGTTATAATTGCTAATCAACTTTTTGATGTTGAACATGTCTCCAGGAAGGTACCTGGCACCAGGCAGGTTTCTTACAGCTCCGCTCTCCACTGTTAGCCGAACGTTCTCAGCACAAAGGGACGTCAATCGCTTAAACCTTGCGTCAGTGTATTCAGATCTATTTCCAAATGCAATACTGCATGTGACATTGGACACAGCCAAGGCTGTCAACGGCTTGATGTCAAATGGGCACCCGTTGTGTTGCTCAATGCTATCTAAGAAAGATGCTGTTTCTTCTTTTACTCTTGATTCCAATGACCTGCCTCCAAATCCAAACTCCCGAAGAGTTTTCAAGAAAAATGTCCTGGTGAGTTTCCAGTGTTCGCCGGACGATGACAAAATACCTAAAGTTGAATAAACAACAACGAGTTTATTCGTTATAAATAGATATTAATGTGTGAAAGCAAATACAAATATGCTGTTTTCAGAAGAAACGAGATAGATTTTGAAACAGAATAAATAAATTAAAAGTAATCACAACGCCAATCTGATTAAAATTGTATCTTCCCATCGCTCCCGTTTACGCGTCATTTCGACTCAGCAGACTGGAGCAATGCGAAGATAGATTTTACTTAGATTGTCACATGAACAGTTATTAGGTCAACATCCTTGTTGTTCAAGCATGCGGAAGTAGATTTCAATAGACCACCGGTATTCCATTCAGGTCTAATTCGTATCATTTCTAGCCGATTGTTTTTTTCTTTTGAAATTCTTTTGAATCCAAATTAAAAATATTTTATAAAATAAGATGTGTCTACTTAGGTTTGATTTCACGTTAAGATATATTGAGAATAGTTTACCTCCAAATAAATATTTCTAGTCTACCAACATATATATTATTCATCCTCCAGATTTTTATAAAGACTACACAAATTCCGTTTCAGATATTATTTGCAAGTATGTCACGGATTGATTGCAAGTATGTCTTAAAATAACAATGATTTAAGTCTACTTGCATATAACTTATCCTCAAGATTTTTGTAAAGACTATCGAAATTCCTTTTCAGATGCTGTGAAAAAAATACTTTTCGTTGGATTTTTCTTTTCGTTGATTTCGTGGGTCATCTTCATGCACGAATTTATAGATCCACGAATTTATTGCAAGCTTTATATAAAGTAATTCTCTGTTTGAGTGGGTACTCTTAATCCACGAATTCATGTGCCAAAATGGGAAACCACGAAATTTGGTTCCCACGAAAATATTTGATTTCACAGTAACTTGAGAATAGGATGCCTTCAATTACAATAATGTTAAGGCTACTTGCATATAAGTTATCCTCCAGATTTTCAAGATAGTAACTACTCAAATTCTTTTTCAGATATACTGACAAAAATCCTTCAAATAACGATAAGTTTGAAAACAACTTCTTCAGCATCTGTTTTTACCTATTACCATATTGTTTGATGAACACATATCAATAGTGTTATTTGTGTTTCGGGGTTCTAATAATCGCGATTTTCGCATTAATAATGTTTCCTTGAAAAAGGCACTTAAAAGGAAATAAAAGCAAGTTAATCCATTCTTACTATAGCACTATGAGCCATAATTACTAGACCTTTCATCTGCGAATATAAACGTTAGAACGACGAATAAGAAAATTCTGCGAAAATTGAAGATAGGAGAAAAGTTTATAAGTAGTTGTACAGTAGTTGTATTGCGCTTTAAATTCGCGGCGACAATATTCCGCGGTTTTCAAGTCGGTGCATATCCGCGGGGATAAGTCGTGAGACTGAGTTGTTTTTGGTAGTTCCTGTACATGTACTGTTCATAATAATAATAATAATAATTATTCTTATTCAGATAAAAGGCAAATAATACACGTATATCATATTTTGTAGATTAGACAATATAAATATATAGATATTTATGCCATAAAACTAATAATCAGTCAGGTGTTAAAACTGGATTGGATTATATTCAGTTAGGCCTTTACCTGGGATGACCCATAAAGCCACATTGTGGCTTAATTCCAATGGGGTCCCTTAGATCTAAATAAATCAATTCATTTCATAAAAATAGTTACATAATTATATAGTATATATTGATAATTTGATAAGATTCTAAGACACTTCTTTTTCATTTCATCAAATTTTATTGACAAGATGTCGTAATTTATTGGATTGAATAACAGGCAAAGCCTATATAAATTCTCTCCGTCAAATGGCCAAAGTTGAATAAACAAAGAGACATAATATTTTAGACATGTTGCAAATGAAAAAAATAACACAAAATAATTCGTATTAACACAAGGCTAAGGGGAAGTAATTCATGAAGGAAACATCTCACACACCTCATACACACTTACACACATATACAAGTACATGTACAAATACATTTATTTCAGCATATATATACACTATCATAGACAGATATTGGCAGGCTTAGACCAAAGTCCATGTGCATATATTGCACAGGTCACTGCTACCAACAACTGTTACAATTAAAAATAATAAATTCATTTAATACATATAGAGTGTAATTATTTACAATGTCATGATAAGTACACGTAAAAGACAGTAGTCATGCTCAACTAGAATCTCCTGGATGAAATATAGAATATATAGTATATTTTTGTTTAACATCATGGCTTTAAGTCATATAAAAATTAAAACGACGGGATTTTCCAATAAAAATATGCACATCATCAAGTATTCTTCTATTTGTAAGCCCATCACAATCAGGACAGCCCTGGAGAAGAATGTTTTTATCAATGTGGTTGTGGTTTCCATAACTATTAAGAGAAGTGAACAAAGTTGTTCTTTGATTATTAAAAATAGGACATTCCAAAAAGTAATGAGATACTGTTTCATGTTCAGCAGAGCAGGTACAAGCAGGACTATTAGTAAGATGGTCATGGTGTAAATCATAATTTAAATTACTGCAAGAGTTTCGAAGTCGACATAGAATAATACTTGCTCTTCGGTTACCTTCTGTTTTGAAAATTGAAACAGATTCACTATCAGAAATAATATCTTTATTCAAATATTTTTTTAATGCTGCAGGAGAGGGAGAATTAAGAAGATCAGAATTTGCAATGTTAATTGTGCGGCACATTTGAGGGAAAAAACTGTCAAAATAGTTATTAGTTCTACATAACGGTGGGTTGAAAAGCCTAGTTTGTCTGAGAGGGTAGGGGTTATCATTTTGATTATTAATAAAGGGATTTAAAACATTTTGTAAGTATTGAGGTGTCTGCCAATGCATAATTTTGTACATCATTACATGTTTGTGTTTATTTCGTCTTACAGATAGTGTTTCCCAACCTAGTTCATTGTATAGTTTGTCATGTGATACCCCAGAACGAAGACCTGTTATTATCCTAGCTGCTTCTAATTGTACAGATTCAAGAATATCTTTTGCCTGTTGTGTACAATTATCCCAAATAATATCTGCATATTCCAAAATTGGCCTAATAAATCCCATATATATTTTAATTAATGATTTTCTATTGACTTTAGTTTTGACATGGCGAAGAATATTAAGTCTATTGTAAGCTTTTTTGTATATATTCTGTATGTGCTGTTTCCATGTTGCATCATCTTGAAGTGTAAGTCCTAAGTGTTGATGTGATGATGTGTCTATGATTTGGCTATTTTGGAAAAATAGTGGGATGTGATGGGTGTCTTGTTTTCTAGAAAATATGAGTGATTTTGTTTTACTTGGATTGAATTTAATGTCCCAAGTTGTTGCCCATTCACCTATGTTAGTAAGATCAGTGTTGAGAGATTGTGCGGCCTGTGCTGGGTTATTATCTATAATTACATACAGAGAAGTGTCATCAGCAAAAAGTTTGATATTGGTGGAAACATTAGTAGTGATATCATTGATATAGAGAAGAAATAATAGTGGTCCGAGGACAGATCCTTGAGGTACCCCTGCATTTACATTCTTAAATTGTGAAAAATAACCTTCAGTATTTACTCTTTGCATTCTGTTAGACAGATAATTTTCAAACCACAAAAGTAGATTTCCATTTATACCATATAATTTCAATTTAAATAAAAGACCTTTTTGCCATACTCTGTTTGCAATTTCATTATAAATAAACAAAAGCTGATTGACAGTAGAATCACCAGGTATAAAGCCAGACTGATGCTTAGTAATAATATCATTTTCAATCAAAAAGTTGTATAGATATTTAAAAATATTTTTTTCCATTATTTTACTGAACAATGATGTAATTGAAATTGGTCGATAATTTAACACATCATTAGATGAGCCATTTCCTTTATAAATAGCATTAACATTTGTTTGTTTCCAACTAAAAGGTATTATACCAGACTCTAGTGTCTTATTGAATAATAACATAAGAGGTAATTTAAGAGAAGCATGAAGCTTTTTCACAATTTTAGGAATAGCACCATCAGAGCCTGGGGGTTTATGAGTGTTGAGTATATTAATTTGATCGGAAACATCTTGTTCAGTGATATGAATGTTTGATAGTGAATAGGGGCATTGGGTTGTGCTGTTTGGGGTAATTCAAGGTCAGGTGTTGATGTAGAAATATTAGTGAAGTGATTGTTAAGAAGCTCTGCTTTTTCAGTTGGATGATGGATTATTTGGCCGTTGGATTCAAGTGGTTGAATAGAAGATGACATATTAGAAAAATTGGTAATAGATTTAGCTATCTTCCACCATTTGTCTGGAGTAACCACATTTTCATTTAGTGACTTTTCAAGATTTTTTATAAAGTTTGCTTTTGCCTCACGGATAAGGTCAATAGTTTCATTTCGTAAGGTTCTAAATTGTTCCCAATAATGGGGATTATTTGTTAGTTTAGCTTTTCGGTGAATTCTATTTCGTTGTCTCATTTTCAATCTAATTGTATTATTCATCCATGGTTTATCATTTGGGCGCACAGTTATTACTTTTGTAGGAATGAATCTATTGACCTGCTCCGTGATTGCATTGACTATAGTGCTATTATAAGTATTAGAATCCTGATCTGAAGACAAATTCAACCAATCAATATCAAATAAGACATTGTTCATTCTATCAAAGTCTGCTTCATCATATTTTAAAATAGTTTTTTTATAGCTTACTTTTTTAAATACAGAATAAGAAATTGAAGCATGTACTGAGGAGTGATCACTGCAAAATGGTGGAGATACATGAGTATTTTTAACTATGTTTTGGTTATTAGTAAAGATAATATCAATGGATGTGGCACTGTCAGGTGTTATTCTTGTGGGTTCATTAATAAGACTAAGTAAATTATGTTTGATAAGGAGTCTTGATAAGTGATCATTCAACGGATGATTTAACATATCAATATTGATATCACCTGTCAGTACCACATCCAGTGAAGTATCTGTAGCTCTGGTCAACGTATTATCTAATTTATTCCAGTATTCAGCATTACTTTCTGGTCTGTATAAACATCCAAGAAGAAATATATGATTATTAACTAATACTTCTAACCATATAAGTTCAACATCATCCTTTTCTAGGTCCATTCGCCTATTCATAACAATAGTATCTTTGTGATAAACTATAACCCCACCCCCGGACCAGTAGTTCTATCTTTTCTATGAGGATTGGAATTGAAGGAGTGCATCTGAATGTCAAGGTTAGATATTGAAGGGTTTAAATGAGATTCTGTTATACAAACTATATCATTATCCTCAAATTCTGCTTCTACCAAGGCTGTCTTGTTTCTGAGAGACCTTACATTCAAATGAATCAAGTTTATATTTTGTACTGGCCCCGGATTACTTTCAATATCACAACACAAAGTTAGCACAACATAATGTGAAGTCAGAAGAAAACATATGTTATCAAAATATACAGATCTGTTATCAAGAATTTTTTTAATGAAGTGAGAGCCAAGATGTAGATTTAGAAAATGCGCTTTGAATAACCTAAAAAACAGCCAGAGATCAGATTTAGACCATACGAATTTCACCTTAAAATTACCCATTGTCGATTAATAAGATGATGACTTGGTAGGTTCTGTTGATCTTTCAGCTGCTGAATAGTTTTCTTAACGCAATATATCGATTCCAGTTTTCCTTTACATATCAACATTGAAATATATTTTATGATTGGATCGAATGTTTTACATTTTGCATCGTGTTTATTGTACAGGTTGTCGCCCTTAGTCCGTTACATACATCGATCAAAAGACAAGAAAAACATGATACATTATGTTCATTATGTAATATTTAATGCAATCAACAATAACAACATATATTTAATAAATAGCAAATAATAGATTATGACATATGTTCCCATATTATTACAAATTTGCATCTTCACACTTGGAAGATCGACAAAGATCGATTTCAACAAGATGTCATGAAAAAAAACCCAACGTCTGTCATCAAATAAAAGTAAAAACAACGTCTGAAGACTGTACAGCCATGGTGTTTACACGGCGTATTCTAGAAGCCATACAGTTTCCAACGCACGAGGTAATAAGATAAAAAAAGACAGTGATTGTAATGTGTCTTAAATAGCAATCTTACTCCGTATGTTTTCACAGGTGTATTTTGTTTTAAACAACATGTAAAATGAAAAGACAACAAATGTAAAAAAAAAAAAAAAAAAAAAAAAAAACTATCCATTATATAAATAAACTTAACTTAAAATTTAATTCCAAATAAACATAATAATATATAATATATGAGGCCGGAACGACTAAGTATACGGGGTCGGACCGGGAACGGGCCGGAACTGCTAAGGTCGGAACGACTAGGGACGGAACGACTCGGGGGCCGGAACGACTTGTATTCGAGCACGGCTGTATAATAAATATGGGACAAGCACAACACAATAACTACATACACACACACACACACACACAGTTTTCATCAAAACACATGGTTTACAAAGCAGGAAACGGATGTGACTCATCACAATCTATCTATAGGTGCCTGGGACGCTTGAACACACAGGGACTTGAAAATTTAGATATAAAAAGTGAGCACGCGCCTGGTAAACATACCCACCGATTACTTGAAAAAAATAAAATAAAAGGATACAGCCAATAAATCTACTACCCAGTTTCAAACAGAGGATATCAAATATGTAATATAAGTTTATGTTTCGTCCGATAGGAAAAAAGCTGCAGATTATTGTATTTTTTGAAATATTTGACAAAAATGTGCAAGTCAATCAGATCCCTTCTTTTTTTCAGACACTTCTTTTATAAAAATAGATATAAAATGTTACATGTGCCATAGGCTATACTAAATAAAATAATGCCGGTCCATGTCTTATCCACATGTATCTGTAGGTAATGTGCAATACTGACATAACCTTTGACTTGATGACCTTTGACTGGATGACCAACGAGAAGAAAGAGACATTTTGAGAGGACTAGTTGTGCTATTCTAGGTCTAGGTACTACAAAATATATTGGAAAAGAATATAATTTAGAGTAGTTAGTTTCATATTTTTATATATTTCATAAGCTCTCTGATATTGATGTATTAGTTCTAAAATGTATAGGTTTAATCTATTACTAATTTAGGATTTTTGGTTAATGGGATAACTGAAATACCCAGAGTATATCAGAATTAGGATGAGTGATTTCTTTGTAATACATATTTTTTAAGAAAACTATATTATTATACTTTTTGTTTGAATTAGATACTTTTCATGGTTAAAATGTATTGTTCTGAAATATGACTAAAATATGGATAAAACCTAAACTCTCGGTTTTTGTTAAGACAAAGTCCATAGTTGTAAATATAGTTATCTGACAGAGTATTTTCCTTTGATATTACAGTAAAGGATCAGACTGCATATTTTCATGTCTATAGATTGGACTAATCCAATATTCAGCACATGACCCTCTACCCATAGCTGTGGTAAGCAGTATTTTATCTATTGTTTTAACAAATGTATTACTGTTATAGTTTATCCTAGTCAGATTATTTGTCTTGACATTATTCTGTTTTCTCTATATGGAAAAGGGTAGATTTGGATCATGTTCAATATGAATATTGTTATTATTAGTCAACAAGAGGATTATTTCCCCTTGTTGCATGCTATGTAACATTGGAATAATAGGAAAAGTTAAATAGTTAATCTTTCTTTCTTTCAAAGTCATCATGATTGACTTGTACATGTATGTATAATGAGAGATTAATAGATTTGATCAAATTAGATAAATAGGATAGGTATAATATTTATGTGAATTTTATATGATTTTTATAGTTGTGACTTATTATAGATAAGTAAAGAGATATGAATGTAAATATGTTACGTATAGGTGTGTAATTTTGTGTTGCAGGGTCAAAACCATCTACATCTTTGTACAGCATCCATACTAGCTGGTACCTGTTTGTGTGTGATGTCTATACTATACTGTGATCATCCTATCGGAGAGACAATAAACACGCTAACCCGAGCCGGTTGACTTTGTCATCATTTAAGGACCCAACCCGGTTACATAAGTATGTATGTTTTGTGACGTTTTAACAACTTTAAAATTACCTTTTCCTTCGAACACCTTGTCTGAGATATAACTGTATGGCCTGTCAGAGAATTCGTCCGCGCGCTTGATAAAAGCTTCCTTCAATGTATCAATTCCATTGAAAACAACGGTAAGACTTGGTCCAACTTTTACACTAAACACGTCGCCATGTTGTTTTCGAAGATTTCGGAATGTATCCAGTATGTTTCCCTGTCGTAGCAGAAGTAGGTTTCCCAATAAAGGATAGCCAGGTGGACCAGGCGGGATGTTGGCCGGCCATTGCAGTGACCGACTGACCAAGCAGATCAACAGAATCACAACAATGGCCACTAGCACAGTGTTTATGTCGAGGAGCGAGCCGAGATCCATGTTTGTTTTCCTCTACACATATACATGGGCTGTGTGTAGCGGTATAGGACTTGATTAGCATACCGTGGCCCTTATAACCATCGTTGCGTGTCTTTACATAACAAGTTAAAACGTAGCTTCACTCCGTGGCTTATTTCCTGAGGTAGCTGAACGTCAGACTATTGTCGCGGTCACATCTTACGGTCACCAACGTAGTTGACCGTAGTGGAGGATGACCGTAGTTGACTGTATAAGACCGTATGTAACCTAAGTTAACGTAATAAAACATAGTTAGACATAGTTCAACGTAGTTCAAGAAACTCTTAATTTGGCCGTGGTTAGCCCAAAAAATTTCAGAATATCTCTACGGTGAATTTGGATGCCAAGACCCTACTGTGACCATAGTTTGAACGCATTTGACCGTAATTGACCCTATATATACGTGACCGTAGTTGACCGTAACTGACCCTATACTTGACCGTAGTGATTACCGTAGTCAAATAGGGACAACTACTAGGGTTAGACAACTTTTGAAGTACTGTTAAGTACGGTAACTAGGGTCAACTATAGGGTGAAGTAGGATGAAGTAGGGTTAAATAAGGTTAAGCTTATAACTACGTTGAACTACGTCTTACAACGTTTAATACGTTTAACTAAGGTCACATACGGTCTACTACAGTCAACTACGGTCATCCCCCATTACGGTCAACTACGTGCGTGACCGTAAGATGTGACCGCGGTTTACAATAACATGATTTGGATTCTCTGCTCAGGGTCCACTTGTTCAAAAGGTAAAATGTAATTTAACTCTACTAAATATTTGAAATTTGGAAAGTTTTAACCTGGTATCATTGTGTTGAACTGCGATGATCACTGTCATTTGGTTCATAAGTAAAATTATCAGGTTCGGTTTTTCGTCTGGGCCTGGCCTTCTCTCTCACTTTTGATCTCGTCACAAATGTTTTTGCCAAGTCTACTGTTCCAGCTTATTCTCGCGGACTATTTGAAAAAATAAAAATAGATTTGTTATTTGCCTTTTTAATCCCTTTTTGTTGTTGTGTACACACAATATGTATCTAATACATTTTAGTGAATTTTTGAGTGAGTTAATTTATTTACATTATTACACCTGCTCATCCAAACAAGTCGATAAGTGTTACGTTGTAACCATCATAAACTGCATGAATTACTGTATGACGCGTTCCTGGTTTTATGGACGGTTGGGTTAAGTCTAGACTTAGCTAGGCTAAAAATTATCACTCCCTACAGGATTGTATTAAAATTTGCATCTCTTATTAGCCGATGTTTGCGCCACATTTCAGTGAAAATCTAGATCACAGTCAGTGTAACGTACTTCTAGACACATCATTGAACACGATCAGTGTAAAGTACTTCTAGACACATCATTGAACACAGTCAGTGTAAAGTACTTCTAGACACATCATTGAACACGGTCAGTGTAAAGCACTTCTAGACACATCATTGAACACGATCAGTGTAAAGTACTTCTAGATACATCATTGAACACAATCAGTGTAAAGCACTTCTAGACACATTATTGAACGCAGTCAGTTTAAAGCATTTCTAGACACATCATTGAAACCAGCCCGTGTAAAGCACTTCTAGGCACATCATTGAACACGGTCAGTGTAAAGTACTTGTAGACACACCATTGAACACAGTCATTTTAAAGTACTTCTAGACAAATCATTGAACACAATCAGTGTAAAGTACTTCGAGACACATCGTTGAACACGGTCAGTGTAAAGCACTTCTAGCCACATCATTGAACACAATATGTGTAAAGTACTTCTAGATACATCATTGAACACAATCAGTGTAAAGCACTTCTAGACAAATCATTGAACACAATCAGTGTAAAGTACTTCTGGACACACCATTGAACACAGTACAGTCAATGTAAAGCATTTTCAAGTCAAATCATTCAACACAGTCAGTGTAAAGTACCTCTAGACACATCATTGATCACGATCAGTGTAAAGTACCTCTAGACACATCATTGAAACCAGCCCGTGTAAAGCACTTCTAGACAAATCATTGAACACAATCAGTGTAAAGTACTTCCAGACACACCATTGCACACAGTCAGCGTAAAGTACTTCTAGACCCATCATTGAACACGGTCAGTGTAAAGTACTTCCAGACACATCATTGAACAAGATCAGTGTAAAGTACTTCGAGACACATCGTTGAACACGGTCAGTGTAAAGTACTTCCAGACACACCATTGCACACAGTCAGCGTAAAGTACTTCTAGACCCATCATTGAACACGGTCAGTGTAAAGTACTTCTGGACACACCATTGAACACAATCCGTGTAAAGTACTTATAGACACATCATTGAAACCAGCCCGTGTAAAGCACTTCTAGACACGTCATTGAAAACAGTCAGTGTAAAGCACTTGTAGACACATCATTGAACAGAACACAGTCAGTGTAAAGTACTTGTAGACACACCATTGAACACACAGTCAGTGAAAAGTACTTCTAGACACACCATTGAACACAGTACAGTCAATGTAAAGCATTTTCTAGTCAAATCATTGAACACAGTCAGCGAAAAGTACTTATAGACACATCATTGAAACCAGCCCGTGTAAAGCACTTCTAGACATAATTGACCACCGTCAGTGTAAAGTACTTCGAGACACATCGTTGAACACGGTCAGTGTAAAGCACTTCTAGACACATTATTGAACGCAGTCAGTTTAAAGCATTTCTAGACACATCATTGAACAAGATCAGAGTAAAGAACTTCTAGACACACCATTGGTCACACAGTCAGTATAAAGTACTTCTAGACAAATCATTGAACACAATCCGTGTAAAGTACTTCTAGACACATCATTGAACACAATCAGTGTAAAGTACTTCTAGACACATCATTGAACACAATCAGTGTGAAGCTACTGGTAGAACATAAAGTGAGTCACGACTAAAACGTCTAGAATTTTTAACCCTTCACGTTTACTGAAATATAAAAGGCTTATTTTAGCTGCTTTGTTGTAAACAAATCCTACAGTAACATTCGTGTTTTACAGATCCGCGTCTACGCAGGGCACGCTTACACCAACATGTGTGTTGCGGTAATATCGAGAGTTTTAAAGACTACAGAACTACAAGGCTGTTAATGTGTGCTTACGGAGAGCAAAGGGAAAGGGTTGGGTGGGATGGGGTTGGTGTGTGGCGTTATTTAAGTGGTTGGAATGGTGGCTAGCTTGATATATCGCCAACTGTTCATCAACATTAAGGAGACCTATCCGCTTATTATGATAATCCCACTCACGTATGGATAGTTATGGAAAATTTCAATAGTGCTTCAAGGAAGCTTCATAATAATGATTTTATCAAGTTAGAAAACGGTTGTCGAGTATTATTCCTGTAAATCTGACAGCATCGCCATAACATATTTATACAATGAATTCGCCCAAATCAGAAATATCACTTATCTTTTAAGCGAATCGAGTTATGCATTTTCTCGCTGTACGAAGATCAGTGCAAAACGCACCCGTACACAATCATCGATTTAAGTTTGAAATGACCTTTGACCGTGTGACGTCACATGCTTTCAGTAAGATTTACATTGTACACTATCGTGAGTTTGTAAAGATAGGTGTAAGAATTAGGAAATTAATGACTGTTGTCATTAAAAATGAAGTGTTATTTACTAGTTTACACATGAGACTTCAACACATGATTCACACTTATATGTGTAAACTTAATCATTCTTTTCATAATGTGCGCTAGGTTTTTTCGAAAGTGTCAACTGCACTTGTTTACATGATTAATAGATTGGGGTATAAAACGGAGATTTACTGAGATACTGAAGTACCACCACAACGGAAGGCAAATTGCCAATAATTAATTTATACCTAAAGAAATCAACAAAAGAATAGTGAACTAAATCATAAACCAAACTCACATCAAACTATAGGAAACATATAAACAAAATAAGATTTACCCGCAGATCCTTAAAAAGGTACAAGGAGAAAAAGACGAGGAGTTCCGGAAAGGTAATAATCTCTTACTTTATCGACCACACCCACCTTCGAAGGCCTAATCCTAGTATAGCAAAGTCCCAAAGTAAGAATAGGGGTGGGGAACAAAAAAGGCGCCTTTTTTGGTAAAATCAAAAAGTTTGATATTCCCCGATGGGATCATGATGGCGAACATAAAACTTGCCCATATTCTCCATCAAACTGTGTCTCCCAGAACAATGTGTTGTGAGTTAATCTGTCAACATTCGACATCTTTCACAGAAAGTATAATATTTCCAGCAAACCCAAATCGAATCAACCGTGACATTAAACAAGTGGGTTTAGGGACGTTACTATCGAAAAAGGGAAAGATCAAAATCGCAAAATTGAAATCATCCCTTTAACTATACTCTTCAGTTATAAGCATTTTCCGTTAGTCATGTTACACGTAAAGATTGAGATAGGCATCTGATGTAGACGAATCTGTAGTTGATCTCAAATTCTGGCGGAAATCGTCTAAAATTTGAATACGTCATGACGAAGTCGAAGGTAGCAGTAAACTATTTGATTCTAGTATAAAATCTGATCTATCGCTTGTACGATTCCTTGAATATTAACAAGTAGTTTCATCGAACTTCTAAGCATGTATATTTTACCGTCAAGCTGCTGCGCGATATTCCTGAATTTACTTAAAAGGCACAAGAAAAATCTTAAACACATGAAAAGCAGAAGTCGGAACTAAGTAATTTAGCAGATATTTGAGAACAGAACAAACAAAAAAGGGTTATCCCAGATGTTGATAAGCCTACGAATATATATATATATCTTACATAATGTAATCTAATGCAGGAGGCCTCTTACCCTTCATTCTCTTTCTTTTTCATACTTTCTCTCAATCACCAAATCATTCATTCTTTCATTCTCATTCATTACATTAATATTATGTCGATATGACATAATAAATTACCAAACCATTCCTTCTATTCATATTCAAATATTGAAAGAACATTCATATTTATAAATTCATTTGCCAAAATCCTGTTTTATTGATTTGATATGCTTGAAAAATGACGCAACGATCGAAAAGAAGCCTTAAACATCAAAATGGCATGTGCTTTATTTTTTCGAAGAAGTAGATTTCATGTTAGTGTAATGAAAATCAATTTTACTGGGATACAGAATGTTATCAAAAGAA